ACGGCATATTGCAATACTCGGCATTTCATAGGGTAACATCTTGCGACTGTAATATGCTCATACATTTTTGGAATACCGCATAATATATTTTAAATAATATTCAATCTTAATACGAGGTATTTCATAAAGTACTATATATAATTTATTAAGCCATATTGGCGTAAGGCTGTGCATACCTCTAAATAAAATAGTTTGTCCTCTTGGGGCAAATTATTTGTAAGTTTTTTGTTGGTTCTGAAAAGAACCGTTTTTTTTTCTGACGAGGGCAGATACCCTATTGCGAGTCAGAATCGCTCTCCGAATCGGCATCCGACCCGGACTCAGCATCCGAGTCGGTGTCCGACTCAGTGTCGGTGCCACACCACACGTCATGCACGTCCAATATCAGGACGCGCGAGTCGCATGGACCGGGTGGCGTTGATGGTCGCCTTGGTCTTCGGAGACCATGGGTGGTATTGCACACCCCATCCAAGTCGGTCATTTGATCCCAGCTCGTATCTACTCCGGACGTCGAATCGCATTCGGCTACATCGATTATATCGGCCATGTTAGTTACTCAACGAGACACTCACAACATCATGCGCTCACGCATCTATGGAAAGCGAGTCAATAGCTGCGTATAACAGTAAGACTTATCTAAAGGCACTGCCTTTACTATGAATTTTTTTGATGGCCCTGAAAAGAGCCGTTGTCTGACCAAGGTAGGTGGTCTTTACGAGTCAGAATCGTCAAAAACCACCAAGCCGATGTCGGGATCGGCATCCCAATCGGAGATGTCGTCGTCGATCGGAGGGTCGTCATCCCACCAGCCCGAGGAGTCGCCACTCTCCGACTCACTGTTCGGATCGGTGTCTACTTCGTAGACACCGGGCGGCTGCAGTGTGAACCCCGATGTGGAGTCGCATGGACCATTCAACTCGGTGTCCCACCCGGCTGACAATAGGTCAACAATATCAACCATATCTGTAGAGTCGCACTCGGCGATTTCTGCCAAGTCAGCCATGTCTGTCTGGTGTGGTGAGCTGAACCAGACTGAATGATAATGCGCTGTAGCTGGGTATATACATCAATCGAAAGGAGTGGGAGTGTTGTGGGTTGCGCGCGCATCGCACGGCCCAAAATTTTAAGCTTTAAACCATCCTAAAAATGTTTACCTCAACACCCTATCAAAAAAAAATAAAAATACAAAAAATACCCCCTAAAAATTTTTTTCCCCAACACCCTATCAAAAAAAAAATCAAAATAAAAAAAATACCTAAAAATTTTTTCCCCAACACCCTAGCAAAAAAAAATCAAAAAATTATAGGGGTGGGGGTAATTTTTTTTTTTTTGTTTTTATAATATGATCCCTATCCCTGTCGCATTTCAAATAAACCCGGCACAGATATTTTTCGCTTAATTTTTTTATCTTGACCCCTAGACCCCTTTTACCCACTGGAAAAAAAATAAAAAACTAAACTTGTATTGTATGTATGCTATTGATTTATTGATTAAATTACCTGCAAATGTCAGAACTAGTTCTTTGTTAGCTTTGGATAGGATTGAGAAGGCTATCTGTTTCTGTACCATTTATTTTTTTTGTCTGAACATCCTTAAGGGTATTGGGTATTCTAGCGATCTTTGTTACGGGTTTTATTCTACCTTAACCTAGACTAGTCTAAAATACCCTAGTTTCCACTACTCTAAACTATTCTAATCTATTCTATTTCCTAGCCTATTCTATTGTAAATTCTTCTAAACTATTTTATATTAATCTAAACTAGGTTATTCTATCCTAAACTAATCTAACTTTCTATTTACTATCCTACCCTATCCTAAATTAGTCTAATCTATTCTATTACTATTCTACAATTAACTATTTACACTATTCTGTTACTATTCTATGCTTAACTATTTACACTTCTAATAGAGAAATAAAAGTAATTATAATTAAAATATGTATTTACCTGACAACCGTTCCTGAAAATCCTGACTTTTCCCGTAAATTTCCAAATACGTTTTTTCCAATAACTTGTCCAAATCTGTAGAATGTGCAATTATATTATTTTTGGCGATTAATTATTTAATTTCACTTATTTCTTTGAATGGTTGTTGATAAAGTCCAAATAATTCAGGAACCCAACTTCAAGATTTTTGAGCTATGCTCCTTTAATGTGAACTCTTGAGTTTGCTTTTAATAAGCAACTTAGAGCTATCATAAAACCAATCTAAAAAATACTTTTATTAGATGAAATAAAAATAAAATAAATAGATAATACCTGCTTCATCAGTTTTCACTTTCTTAATTGGAAGTGTAGTTACTGGCTCAACACATTTTAATTGTTCGCGGTAATGTCTTTATAAACTTTGTTTTTCCGAAAAACTTTTTAAACAGGTGTTGCACTGCAACCCTTTAAACAGAAGTATAAATAAAATTCTCTTGCTTCAATTTTATATAAATAAATTGGTTGTGTTATAAATATAAAAATATTAAAAAAGTTATTAAAAATGTTATTAAAAAATGTTATTTGATATTAAAAAGTTCGAATAATAAAAGTTATTCAGAGGAAAATTTACATTACAAACTGAAAGACCTGCGGGGCAACGGTAGTTTAGTAGGTATAACAAATTTACTTCCGAGACTAAACAAAATACGCATTCATTCATAATTTTAACAATTGCATGTAGATACGAGGGATATATATTCTAAACTCTAACGCGCGAAGTTGAGACAAAGGAACCGAAAAATCCTACCACGGCTGCACACGTTCATCAGTTATTGAGTGAGTCAGAGTTACCTAAATTAGGGAAACCAGAATCGTATTTGTTTTTCATGCTGCATTGTGAGATATTGTTATAACGCAGTTCGATTTATTAGACGGTTTTACATTATTTTTATATTTTAATTTAGTGAATAGCTTTAGTTAGACTAAATTACATTTAGAAGCATAGAGTTGTGAAGGATGGGCAAAATAAAACCAATATACAAATAATGAAAAAATAGACAATTATTTCAAATAAGGTAATTTCAATTAATACAGGATATTTATTAATTGAGTGCTGATACAACAAAATATCAAGAGCAGTTTCAATAAACTAAAAAAAAATTGTTTTGGTTTTTATTTTCTAACGACAAAAGGTTGCGTCGTACGAAAGTACATCTATAAACCAAATTTACTCCAAAATAAATAAGGATTTTAAAGATAATTTTGGTTTTTAGAAAAAGCAGCGGCGTACCTTATTTTTCTTCAAAAATATTCAGTTCAAACCCGGTACTTATGTCACTGGTAAAAATTTTTAAAAGACTTTTACGACAAAATGAGGTATTAAAAGTGAAAGTTTAGTCCATTGATACATAATATACTATATTTATATTTCTAATTTTTATTATTACACTGTATGTGACATGGCTTTTTTGTTTGCCTTTTTTGGATTAACAAAATATTATTTTAATGATTTAAAATAAACTGCCAGTAATAATAATAATAATTATCTGTACCTAAACATATACAAAGTGAAATCATAAAACGACGCAACAAGAAAGCACAAAATTATTAAACTTTCTTAATTAAACAATTACCGAGTAAAGAAGCAAAACTTCTTTATTATTTTCTATCTAACGTTCACAACAAATTTAACATGAAACATTCGTTGATCGACGAACCACTAATATATTAAGAAGAGAAAAATAAAAAACTCTGCTCATATTATTAATTTCATCAATAATTTTTAAAATTCCGAGTTAGTGACATTTCGTTTCTTATTGAAAACAAGTTTGGTGCCCGCAAAAATTCTGGTTTTTTGTATACCGGGTGTTCAAATTAAAGTGTTACAGTTAAATACCGCCGGAAATATGCATTATAGAAAAAAAAGTTTCAATCAAAAATTTTATAGTTTTTTGGGGGATACATTTTGGCTAAATTCATTTTTTATAGCTTACCATAATATGGCCATATCGAGGTGGACTTTGTTTTTCTAAATGCAAATTTGGGGTCGATTCAATTGAATATATGGGTCACATCATTTCAAAAGAGGGAGTTGCACCAAGTCCTTCAAAAATACAAGGAATTTTAGACATTCCACAGCCAAAAAATGTTCAGATGTTCAAAGACTACTAGGTATGTTAACCTATGTCAGTAAATTTATCCCTTATTTTTCATCACAAACAGAAGCCTTAAGGTAACTTCTTAAAAAGGAAAACGAATTTGTGTGATAGTCCACAAGATATAGCTCTTAAAAATCTAAAATATAAACTAATTTCTAAACAAGTTTTGCAATTTTTTGATGTTGGGAAAGATATTACAATTTCAGTAGATAGCTCAAAAGCAGGTTTAGGGGCAGTCTTGCTGCAACAGGGTTTACCATGTGCATATGCCTCCAGGGCTATGACACCAACTCAAATAAACTACGCAAAGATTGAGAAAGAATTGCTCGCTATTTATTTTGGGTTAGAAAGGTTTCACCAATTTATATTTGGAAAAAAAGTTACAGTCGAAACAGATCACCAACCGTTAATTTCAATTTTTAAGAAACCTCTTAACAAATGCCTTGAGCAGGGCCTATAAACAACAAACAGGCAATGAAAATTTAGAGGGGGAAATACAAGCCCAAGTATGTTTAATCAAGGGCGAAATAAATGCTACACCTGAAAAAATAGAACAATTCAGGGCAGAAACAGCCAAAGATGTAACACTACAAAATTTAAAAAAAAAGTAATTCTAGAAGGGTGGCCCAAAAATAACAAAAAATTACAGAATAATTTAAAAATATATTCACCTTACAAAAGTTAACTTTGCATAATTGATGAAATAATATTCAAAGGTAATAGTATAGTGGTACCTTCCAGTATGAGGGAAGAAATGTTAAACCGCATTCATTACAATCACTTAGGGATAAATAAAAGTATCAAATTAGCTCAGGAATCTTTATTTTGGCCATTTATGTCAAATAAAATTTCACAAAAAATTTCAAATTGTCATTTATGTATGAAGTACTCCAATACACAACAAAAGGAACCAATTATGAACCACGAAATACCAGATCTTCCTTGGAATAAAGTAGGTACAGACATTTTTGAAATTCAGGGTCAAAAATACCTGTTACTAATTGATTACTATTCAAAATTTGTCGATGCTGTTAATTTAGATAAAAATACAACAAGTAATAAAATCATAGACGTAATGAAAGATAGATTTTCTCTTTTTGGAATTCCTCTAACAGTTGTCTCAGATGGGGGTCCCCAATTTTCTTCGGCCAGTTTTAAACAATTTTCTAAAGAATAGCATTTTAATCACACAATCTCATCCCATTACAAATGCTCAATCAAATGGAATGGCGGAACGGCACATCCAAACAGTAAAAAAATGTTTTTAAAAACTCTGGAGGAAGAAAAAAAGATTCTTAAGAAATACACCAATAACAGAAAATATCTCACCAGCTGAAATTATGATGAGTAGGAAACTGAGAACTACTTTGCCCATGACTTCAGAATTATTAAAACCTAAAATTGTAAAAAATTATAATAATTTCATATAAGAGTCATAAATAAGACAAACAAAATACTATAATAACGGTGGTGTTAAAACCTTACCTGAATTGGAACCAAATACCAAAATATATGCACAAATTTATCCAAATAGTAACTGGAGTCCTGGGACTGTAGTAGAAAGGGTTAGATTTAGAACTTAAAAAATAAAGTTAGACAATGGATCAGTATTATACAGAAGCAGAAAATTTCTAAAAATTGGTAAACAAAATGAACATCCATCATCTGGAAATACTGCTCCATCCACAAAACTTTACACCAGTAGAGAAAATGAACTTATTAGGTACTATATAGAAATAGAAAATTGTAATAATGAGAAAAATCAGGAAAATGATAGTGTTAGCGATGAAAATTCTGTAAATAGTAATGTTAGTGAAGAACATTTGGAAGATAGTGATGGAAGTGAGAGGGAAGATAGTGATGGAAGTGAGAAGGAAGGTAGTGATGGAAGTGAGAGGGAAAAGATAGAAAGTCTCAGTAAAGAAAGTAATGTCCAAAGCAATTTAGAACAAATTATAGTTGTAGAAACGGAAGCTGGAAATTCCACTGCATGTGTTAAAAATAAAAATTTAGACAATACATTTAATCAAGCAGAAGGAAATTCCAGCTCACGAAATAGAGAGAACGGAGATTCAGATTCCGAATCAAAATTTGTGAATAAAAGTAAAGTAACGAAAACAAGAGTGGTTAAACCACCCTGGAAACTGAACCTTTAGTTCCTGAAAAAGGAGGATGTAGCATAGGCAACCAGTATCACACATGTGTGTATATCATGTTGCCTATATCTTAATTATTAGAGTTAGCTGTATGCGCAGGTCAGCGCTACTGCAATGGCTGTCCTTCGGTGTTCATGTTCAGGTCATATCATGCTGTCTCGCTGCTGTGTTAGTATCGCTTGTACTATATAAATAAATAAATAGTGACCCTACGTTTTATTTAATCGAAAACTAACAATTTTCTATAAATAATAAATAAACTACATACCAAAAGACGCTTACACGATTAACAAGTAATCATGCAGACTCCAGACGAGCTCTCCGTAACTCAAGAAGCTACAAAAACTCCTCTCGACCGAACCATCTAAGTTAAAACTAGATGCCGCATCTTACCATGAGACTCCTAACCTAGCTCTAATCCCTAAGCCCATTAAAGCAAATTCTACTAAATCTAATAGTGCCAACCCTGCAACTTCTGCAACAACGACGGCTAACGCTATCGAAGTTAGCATCAGCAGAAAGCTACAGCCCCTCCCAGAAGATAGTTCTGCTAAAGAACCTACTCCTGAAGTTGACTTGATTTCAATTCTCAAAATTTCCGAGAGATTAGAACTCAACTTAGGCATCCCCTTTACCATTGTTGTTCAGCCAGACACCCGATACAATTTGCAGTACCTTACGCAATGCGTAAGTCTACAGTACCCCGATTTGAATGTCAAATCTTACAATTACGTAAGCACATTCTCCCTCATCGGATACGACATACTCTGTATCCACGCAGCTCTACTGTATTGCGATTTAAACAAGCGCAACCAGCGTCTATTTCACTCAAGGATCTATACCATTGATATGAACCGAAAAGAATTCTACGATTCTTTTCTCCGTCTCAATGTTTCCTCACGAGCCCGGCCCCTGATTGATAATCTCACCTCAACGTACGATGAACAGCTTGTTCAATTACATTATACTCCCGGATATGCCGGCTTCAAATTCCTCACACACTTTGGCCACACCATCCCCTCCCTGTTGATGCTCTACGCACACCAGATCTTCGCGTCCTTCCCCACAAACGCCCAACCCAATACTGTTTTGACAGAATTATTTCAGCAAATCCTCACAACCATAGATGGATGTTCATAAACCATCTCTAACCTGCTTGGTGGCCCCTATGTTTCAGACAATGACACAAGAATCCATGAAAATTGAGTCTTAACTACATTTGAAAGAATATTTAACCCAGTAATCAACCGTTCCCTAGCCTTAAGACCTAGTCTTGCTAAGCCTCACTTCACTCCCATTTCCTTCACTTCGTATAACGATGTCAACCCCTACGACTATACCCTCGGCTACTGCCTTGAGAATAAAACTATTCTCATGAAAATGCTGAAAAACATCTCTGACTTTATCAAAACCGAGTCAGCAGACTGCCTAATCCTAAAAGACGTACTCAAAAATAGCAAAAGCTCTCTCATCCAGACGAACTTTTTGACCGTCCCCTCCCTTCCCACATGGCACAAACTTCCCTTTTGGTAAATAGCTTGATAAAGCAATTTACACAAGCGATTCCGACTTCGCTAAAACGATCGGCTTCATGCCTTACGAAAGAGTAGACCTTACCTCCCCTAACGCCCAAATACACTACACAAACGTTGCCTCTGACCTCCAGCTCACCACCGGAGTCGAGTATAACCCTGACGAATAAGCATTCCAACTTCTAAGTTTTGACCCCAAAGTTAATGTAACCCCTAACGTTGCTTGGTTCCAACCATACAACCCTATTCCAGAATACATTAAACTTTGTTGCACCCTAGGATTCCAGATTGAATCTTATGATATAGTAGGTTTCACCCTACCAATGCCTAACATTCATACCTCCCTAACAAGCAACAACAGCAACTATAGACCCGGACTAATTCCCTTCAATTATATTCAATATGTAGAAGGCTTTATTGGCGAAAGAACTGAAATTTGCGAAATTGCATCTTATGACGAATACGACCAACCCATTGGTTTCGCTTTCCGAGACGTGTCTCGCGTCATTATTCCAATTTTTGCTCTCAGTAACTCAAGTTCCTCTTCCACACAGACCTACGGACTAAACCCCACTCCGAACTGTAATCATGACTTAACGTCATGGACTTACACAGCCTGGTGTAAGAATTCTCACCCTTCCATCGAGAAAAAGTCCACATATTTATGGTCTTCCTATCGCGTAGTAGACCGTTCTACACGGCCTAATTACTCTGTATCCTTTTACGGATCATTAAGACCGCTTTACGGTTTAAGTGTTCCACATTACAGAACAGGGCACCCCTCTATCATTACCCCACAGTAACAACTACAGCTGATTTACAGCTTAGATTTTTTTTCTAACTTAGTAATATTTTCTAATATGTTTATTTCTAAAATTAAACTCTTCACCGACTTATTTATTTAACTAAAAAAATAAGATAAAATTAAATACTAATTACTAAAGTCTATTCAGATTTCATTTACGCCGCGTCAAAACAATTTCTCCCATCCAGCAACAGCTCACGTGACATTTTTTTGCGCTTCTATTGGTTAATCGGTCGTTAGTCATTTAGACGACGCGCAAATATTTTTTGTCAGAGTCGAATTCAGTTCAATTTGGATAATTATAAATGGCGTTTTGGTAGCATTCACCGTGTTGGTTAGTTTGGACATTTTGTATGTTTGATTGATTATAATTCATTATATTATAGTTTAGATATACATATATTGTGTTATTTTTTTTTTGTTTTTGTGCTTGTTGTTAGTTTGAACATGTTTTACTCTATTTTATGGACATTTAATTGACTATATTTTGTAATTGCTGCGTGACACTATGTCCTCCACAGATACAGCAGATGAAGTCCAGAAAAATGTTTTTACTCCTTCTAAAGAGCGACTGAACAAGGGACATTTGGTCATCGGTACTAAAGAAATGGTTCTTAATATTTATAAGCATTAAATTTTATAGAACCTGATATGTTGGTACATGATGTTGAAAGGAGAGTTGCTGATAAAACAGGGATGTGCGCTAAAACCGTTTTTAATGTTATGAAGGAGTATAGGCAGATTCATAAATTTTCTGAACCAAAAAGAAAGCTACGTTATAAACAAATTAGTGGCTCTGTGGATGATTTTGATAAAAATGCAATAAGGCGCAAAGTACATCAATTCTTCTTTAGAAATTAACTTACAACAATTGATAAGGTTTTATAAGAAGTCAACGATGATACATATTTGTCTACTTTTAAGCGAGCTACATTTTACAAGCTTTTCAAAACCCTTAATTTTAAATTTAAAACTCGAGGAAAAAATAGTTTGCTTTTAGACAAAAATTAAATTGTTTCGTCCTACGCCACAAAAAATAAAACGGTACAGAGAAGAAAAGCAAAAAATATATTATCTTGATGAGACTTGGATTAACGCAGGCCACACCAAATCAAAAGTATGTTTCGATATGTCGGATTTTTCATCCAGACAAGCCTTTTTGGATGAACTTTTAACTGGTTTTAAAAACCCATCAGGTATGTGCGTAAAAACAGCTCATTATATGCCATATTGGAACTGAAGAAGGCTTTGTCTCTAATGCACTTTATGTATTTGAGTTGAAAAATCCGGTGACTACCATGAAGAAATGTGTGGAGAATCGTTCAAAGAGTGGTTTTCAAACACCCTACCAAAATTAGAAGATAACTTCATTATTATTCGAGAAAGCTGGAAAAAATATCTACGACGTCTAAAAAAGGTGATATTTAAAAATGGCTATAAGGGAAAAAAATTGAATTCGACTACCAAATGCTTAAGATCCAACTTCTAAAACTTGGTAAGCAACATAAACATTATGATAAGTATGTAATAGATGAAATGGCTAAGCAGCAAAACAACATAATACTTCACATGTCTCCGTATCATTGTGAACTTAACCTTATTGCATTAATCTAGGTTGACGTTAAACAATACGTAGCAGATAAAAACTCAACATTTAAATCTGGAGACATTAAAATTCTTTTTGAAGAAGTAATATTATTAATTTCTCCAGAAAAATGGAAAAAGTGTATCGACCATGTTCGCCAAAAAGTTGAAGTAAAAAAGTTGAAGTAAAAATGTGGGAGTTGGATAATATTATAGAGGTTCAGGTAGAACCACTTGTAATTTTGATTAATGAAGATAATCTTTCAAGTCTAAATAATTTATTCGATTCAGAATAGTGCTAAGTCAAGTAAGGAAGATTGCTATAATACAGGGTACAAGTTGTCTAATCTAAATACTAGTAGAACAAGAACAATAAAGAACAAAAGTTATCAAAAATACAAAAGGTTTCTTTTCAAGATGCACAATTATAAATCAAATACCAAATTCACATACCAAATACCTCTTATATTTAAAGTTTTTTTAATGCTTTTAGTAGATATATATTAGCTATTAAAGAATTTACAATTATTTGGACACCCTGTACAATATAATTTTATAATATGATTGTTTTAATGCTCTGTATCACAGTAGACATATGTAATGAACTAAATATAATGCAACCATCTCTTTTAAAGTCAAATACATTTATTAATTTGTATTGCAGGTTAACGCAGTTTATGTCGCTTACCTATCTTCGTCCAGAAATGTCACTAAAGTCTGGGAGACCGTATATGGCATTTATTTTATAGTTTTACTTTACAAAATATGTTTTTAACGTAATAAAAAAATAATTTCACAATTACACTCTTTTATTTTACATTTTTGCAAGACGGAAACAAAATACGGCCCTGCTCAATTTTAGCGTCCACCTGCTTCTGTTTACATCAGGCGTAAATTAAATTTGAATAGACTTTAAAAACCTACCTTTCCACAACGAACACGTTATAGGAATCCCATTTTTTTATTTACATATTCTTAAAGTACATAAAAAAATAAGAAACTTGTGATAGAAATATTTTTTTTATTGGACTTTTACTTTTTGAGTAACAGCTACTTGAAAATTTTGCTGGGCGAAAAAAAAAGTTGACCATATTATGGTTAGCTATAAAAATGATTTTAGCCAAAAAAAATTTCCCCACAAAACTATAAAACTTTCGTCTGAAAAGTTTTTTTTTATAAAAGACGGTATTTAGCTGTAACACTTTAATTTGAACATCCGGAATATAGACATAAGTACTCAATAATTTTTTTTTCGATGGGAGGATCTTTCTTATGTAGCGCATCTTGTAAAAAATGCATTTTTAAGCAAATTTTGTTCTATGAACTAATTCGATAAATCTAACCATTTTTGATATACAGAGTGAGTCACTGTTTTTCGGCATTAATAATTGGATTTCTAGAAAATGCTAAAACAGGTCGATTTTTATTCCAAATTAAACACATTTTTACAATACAGACATCTGTCATGTGTCAACCCCCTCCCATCCACTTCTCCAACCCCTTAATTTTAAATAAGGAATGTACCATGTACGGCACATCATTAAAAAGATAATTTTATGGGGAAGTCAGAAATATGACAGTTTATTGCGATACTTTTAATTTTAGCACCCTCTATCGGGATAAAAAACTACGTATTATAAAGTGTGACACTTCAATTGAAAGCTAATTTAATTACTGATTCAATGCACCACATAACATTAATATAAATGTTTCCATATTGCACTTGCAACAAAATTAAGCTGGCAATAGTGTTTAAAATAATGCATTACTAATTATCAAACTGTATATGGATATTTATATTATGTTATTAAATAATGTTATGTGGTACATTGAATTAGTAAAAATATTAACTGAATTTGTTCTCGATGTCTAAATATTTTATTTAAAAACTATTAAACTAATAGAAAAGCTGTCTTATTTCTTTAAAACGAATAATAATTTATAAAATTAGGAATATGGGTATGACAATAAAAACGAATTATTAAAAAAAATATTTTTTATAATGATATATTATTACTATTACATGTTATACAATACTGTGCTAAGCACATTATATATAATGGTACTTTGCAAGATTCACATAAGTAAAATGCTGATTAATGTGATGTGGGTTTATATTTTCTTCAAAATTCACCATTAATTGGTAAAAATAAAAATTACACAGTTTAATGTTTGTAACTTGATAAAAGCACTGTACAACGCAACATGGTTTTTCACGCTCATAACATATCCATTTCAAATTATTACCAATTATGTATCGTTAATTTTGTACTTAAACTCCCCACCATCCAACTATAACACCTCAAAATCTTCGTAATCTGATAGATTTACTTCTATAGTTGAACGTGAATAGTCTGATTCTATTCCATCATCAGACATAGAATCTTCTTCAGAGATTGACATTCTATCAGAATCGTTGTGTGTACCCCCCAATAATGATCCTTTATAAGAGAAAATCCTACTTCTTTTCATATAACCAGTAATATTCTCTAAACTCCACCCAAATTGATTTTTATTTAGAATTTAAAATAATTTATTCTAAAAAAAATTATATTTACTGGAAACAATCTTTATTCGAAATTATTTTTTAAGAAACAGTAAATAATTGTTTTTATTTACACTACTACCCACACATTGCACTCTAGAAAAACAACAAATACTATTTTAATTATATTTTATTATATGTCTAGGAATTTTATAGAGAATATATAATACTAATAATAATAATGACTTTATTGCTCATAATCTTACAAATAATATATACAAAGGAAACATAGTAGAAAAATAATAAATAATAATAACTTCTAATACGAGAGATTACATACACATCGAGTAATGGGCGACGTTCGCACTTAACTACAAATTCGCAGAACCGTAGTTAAGTGACGCTCTTCCACGAAACCTTTTATGTACCCTAATTTATATTAATAATTAGACCATTAAGTGTTAAATGCATATTGAATAATAAATTATAACTACCTCTTTTAAAAATATCTAAAACTAAAAAGAATAAGAATTAGAAAGTTACAAATACTTTTATACAAGTAGCTAAAGTTTCTCTTGCAATAACTTTTAAATAATATAATTTCTAAAAATCATGAGAAAATTTATTTTAATAAATTTACTTTTGATGCTTTAGAAATTATATCATCTAAAGAAGAAATTGCAAGAGTCACTTTAAATATCTTTCTTTGGTACTTCTGCAATTTTAAAAGGAGAGACGATCGTTTTAATTTTTTTTTTTTAACAATTTGTTTAGACTCACTTATACATTTCTGAAGTTTTATTAAATATTCCTCCGTGGTTTCCTTTTCTGCTACTAAATCCCGCTCTTCACAGAAAGTTTCTTCAAGCGTAGATGTTTCGTGAATGTCTTCTTGTTCTTCTTCTTCTTCATTATCTGACGATGGTATA